TGGTTTGGGTTTTATATTTGCTCCTGTGAGGGAGAAACAGGAGAGCAGGTGTGAGGTGGGGGCAGGGCCCATCTCAGGAGGAAGGCGCCTCGAAGGTGGCCCGTAGGACACTATGCAGGCACCGCATAATCTCACTGTGGGGTCAGTGGGGGGCAGGGGGCTGGGGTGGAAACTGCGCCTTTCTGAGACGGGGCTCGAACCCTCGTCTTGGCTCAGGCACGAGAGGGGTTGATGACTCACTCATCCTCTGCAAGTTGGGTGGGTGGGCGCTGTGCTCTAGGTCCGGTCAGGTTGGCCCTGGCGTCCCCTCTGGGCATCGCCCCCTTCCTGTCCTGCCCTCCCCAGTGGCTGTGTCTCTCGGCCCCCACTGCCCTCATCGGTCTGCCTTCCTCACCTGCTGCAGATCTCACACCCACCTCCTGCGCCTCCACCTGAGCCCTGAGCTCCCAGCCCAACACACCTACCTGGGGTTCGTCGTGGGGATGGGTCTGCTTCCACCAGAGAATGGAGGAGGGGACAGCCACAGTGAACTCCAGCCCCGTGAAGATGAGCATCACGGACAGCACGCCCTGGGATGCAGGAGCCGCGTCAGCACATTGCCCGTCATTGTTCGGGACAGCCGGGCCGGTGGCCTCGGAGCCCGGACCAGCCAGCCCCGCTCCGTCTGCAGACTAGCTCGCCGCCACGGCACCTTTTCTTCCCTGACTGCACCCAGCCTGCCTGCCCAAGGTCAAGTCCAGGTTGCCGGTCATACAGTGTGGTGGACGGCGCGCTCGGGGCTCAGCTGGCCCCTTTCTCGTCTTACCTCCCAGGTGAGTCTCCTTCCCTGCCTGGGCCTCGATTTCCTCTTCTGTAACATGGGGATCTGGGTTCTCACCCCTCAGGATTGTTGGGGGCCCACAGGTGTGGAGTGCATGGTGAATTGTATGCCAACACCCCTTACCACCCTTATCCCTCGGGGGCACCTGCCCGAGGTTTGGGGGCAGTGATCAGTCAAAGCGATCATTTCGCACAGTTGCCAGGGCCCACAGGACCCACAGGAGACGGCACTCGAGGAGGAAGTAGCTGCCAGGTGACCGCCCTGGGTCACCTTGCAGCCCTGGTGGTGCAAACGGTTAATGCGCTCAGCTGCTAACCGCAAGACTGGGGGTTCGAATTCACCCAGAGACACCACGGCTGGAAGGCCTGGTGATCTCCTTCTGAAAAGCCAACCGCTGAAAGCCCTGTGGAGCACGGTTCTCCTCGGACGCTCACAGGGTCGCCATAAATCAGAATCTATTTGATGGCAACTGGTTTGATGTTTTTTTTTTTTTAGTTTGGGTCACATTCCCTGAAGCAGTGGCCACCAGGTAGGACAGCTGAGGCCACGGGTTTGCAGGGCATCGTGCTTATTCCCCCTGACCAGGGCCATGTGAGAAGGAGATGCAGCTGGCTGCTGTCCCTGAGAAGCCCTCAGCACGTGGGCCCCGCCTGACCCCTGTGGTCGAGCTCATTCTTTGTCCACTGCACAGACCTTGTCCAATCCTCCTGCAGGTCCACCTGAGACCCTTTCATTATCACTGACTTCATTTGATGGGGGGCGCCAGAGCCAGGGCACCGAGCATCAGTAAGGACCCGGTCAGTCTGGGTGATAATCTCTGTCCTCGGTCTGTGCTCCTTTGTTGGTTGCGGGCAGGCCGCCTTCCTGTTCCCCATGACCTCATCTACTTTCCTCAACCTTCTGAGCTTACTGACTGTTGTGGACTGGATTGTGTCCCCCCGAAGATACATTAAAGCCCTGACCGCCGGTACCCTGACGGTCTCCGGGTGGCACACACAGTTTGTGCTGAACTCCGAACTCCATGGCGCCATGCAAGAAAGTCCTGGCGATGTACTTCTAGAAAGATCACAGCCAAGAAAACCCTTTGGAGCACAGTTCTACTCTGTCACACACGGGATCACCAGGAGTCAGAACCGACCCGATGGCAGTAGGTTTGGTTTTGTGAATGTGACCTGGTTTGGGGAAATAGTTTTTCTTTGCAGATGTTATGAGTTAGTGAAGTCACACCTGAGTAAGGTGGGTCCTAATCCTAATTCCTTCAGAGTGGCGTTTTATAAAAGAGAAGGACAGACATGGAGAAGTCACACACACAAGGAGGACGGCACGTGAGGGTCCGTCTACAGGCCAAGGGACGCTGAGGACCACCGGCAGCCCCCAGAAGCCAGGAGAGCGGCCGGAACAGCTCCTCCCTCAAAGCTCCCGGAAGGAATCAACACGGCCCACGCCCTGAATCCGAATTTCTAGCCTCCAGATCTCAATAAAGCCTTCACCAGCCTGGAACATTCTATCTAAAAATACTCACCAGTAGAATGGAGCTGACCACAAGGCAGTTGGTGGCCTCAGATCTCGAGTAGTAGAAGCCCTCTAGTGGGGGTGATGCATTCTGCAGGCACCGCTCCCGGGCAGCGGGCATTGCGGCCAGGTTGAAGGTGAGGATGATGAAGCCGACCGCCGCGGCGAGCAGGCTCGTGATGTTGATGGCCAGGGTGCTCCAGGCCTGGAGGGGACATTCAGACACACCTCCCTGTGAGCACCACATGCCTCTGGTAAGCGCGTTCCTGCAGGACCGCAAGAGCGGATGCCGCCCACGTCCCGGTTCCTTGCGGGGCAGGACTGATCCGGCATGATGTATCTCATCCACTGTCCACCCCCTAGCCGAGCTCCCAAGCCCCTCTGGGGAGTGCTGGCTGACTGACTGAACTCTTGAATGAAGCATGGACTTCTGAGTGGCGGACTTAGTCACTGGAGCTGGGAGCTAAGGGTCTCAGCAGCCCCAGGCCTCAGGCTCCTGAAAGCTGGCCCTGGACACAGGCTCAGTGGGTTTGCAGGAAGCCCTTTTCTCTCACTAGACAGTAGATCTCTGAGGACTGTTGGGGTGGGGGCTACAGCAGCCCGGGTGGCTCCAAGCCCACCATGCCCCCAGCACATGTACCCCTCTGTGCCAGCTTGCTTTCAGCCCGCTGTGTAAGGTGGGGCATCCGTGGGGGCTTGGGCAGGTTTCCCCGGCAGGGTCTGCAATCATTTGTCCATAACCAGGGGAGGCTGAGGTGGGGATGAGGAGGGGTCTGTATGCAGGAGGCATGAGATACTACCAGCGGCCTGCCTCACACCCTGCCCCCAGGGGTGCCACCAGGACATGTTGTCCGGATCCAAAACATGTCCTTGCACATGGTCCGGAGACCCTGGGTGGTGTAAATGGTCAGCACGTTAGGCGGCTAACAGAAAGGTTGGAGGTTCGAGCCCACCCAGAAGTGCCTCGGAAGAAAGACCTGGTGATCTACGTCTAAATAATCAGCCAGTGAAAAACCCCATGGGGCAAACCTGTGGGGTCGCACTGAGTCGAGGGGCAGCCATCTCTTACAACCCCTGCCTTCCCTGCCCAAGTGGGCAGTTCTCAACAGATACCCCGTGACCCCTGCTTAACCCTTTCCCCTCGAGCTCACCAAGGAGCGAAATTCAGGCAGCCAGTTAGCACCAAAAGGTGTCGTGACGACAAGGTGGAATTTTTCCGTAAAGTTCTGAGAACCTGGAGGGGGATCAGTACTGTCCTCAAAACAGATCA